CCCCACCCCCAACCTGTTTGCTCGCTTTTCTTTTAATCAACAGAATATTGCATACACATGGGATTTCAAGTCCATAAAAAAATAACTGTGGTAAGGTGACCCCATCCAACAGCAGAGAGGTTCATAAGCCCTATTTATAGCCACATGGCTGTCATGTGAGCCAGAAGTATGACAAAAATAAAAGCCAGTTCTGTAAAACAAATGGCTGAGCAAACAAACAAGCAGTTCTGAACATGTTCTTCACTATTAAGTAACACTTCCTATACTTAAAAGCTGTTCTTAACTCACTTTAAGAGGAATTATGCTTGAACAAGGATATTTGGACCAAGATACTATTTGATACTATCTATGGTTTGCATCTTGTTTCTGCTTAACACATACCTATGCAGCAGTGGGATGATTTCAGTTCATGCCAGTAAACTGCCAACTGTTGCAGACTTGCACTAGTTGGTTTACAGTGGCATTAGCTGCCCCCAGAAAGCAGGTATCTTTGATCCCAGCTGAGCCTGGGCACCCTCAAGGTTCCTTCTGCCACAACGCAGGCTAGATAGTGCAAAGCTGACCATGGTATGTCCAGAAGAGCTATGGTCATGCCTCTGGATTATAATATCCATGTATCTTAAGCAGTTATTTTGAAATCCCTCTTATGATAATCTCTTTAAGCCAATTTTAAATTGAACAGGTAGAGCTGCATGGAAGTTTCAGTGTTGTTAGAACACCAATTAGTTTCAGCTCTGCTTTCTTTCCATCCTCCTGCATCTCCATCCTGATAACACTGCAATAATTCATGTGCAAGGGCTATGAGTTTAAAGACCATGCATAGTACTACTGCTAAGACAGCCCCTGGAAAATTACTAAGACATTTCACACAGCATAGAAATATCACAAAGAATAATAAAGAAATGCTGCATGAGCAACCAGTTACGTAAATCCAGTAAGCCAGAGAGACAAAAAAGTTAAATTCAGAGTTTTCTTCAATTGTACGTTGAATTACAAGGGAGAGGGGGGGAAAAAACCACCAACACCCACAGACCTACTGAAAAACTATTTTATTCTGATGAAGTACTAAATATTCTTTAGAGAGTACATTAAGGAGAAGTAGAGTCAGTCCTCAGCTAGGTACAAACTGCCATTCACACATTAAGCCACAAAGCCAAAACCTCCTGGGGTTTCCGAGTCCCTTAATCTTAAACTGACAGGTGATTGTTTCTACTAATTGAAGTACATTATGATATAAAACCATAGTTGGTTGTTTAAATAGTACTATATGTCTTCATTTGGAAGCATCCCTAAGTTAGGGCAGGGACCTCTGCCACACACTTTAATACATACTCTCTTGCTCAGTAGCTGTTTTTATTTAGTAATTAAGTCTCAGTCAGAAAAGTGAACTCTCTCAGAATAATGTTCAAACCGAAAATGCGGTATTTCTTAATTAGTTGACATTTGATTCTAACCCATGTTTTAGGACACAGACTTGAGCTGAAGACCAATTTGAGGTAATTCAGCACAGCCATAATTTACATTATTAGCACAGCTGTACATCTGACCTAATACCTATGCAGAAAGGACAGCATGTGAATGGCAAAGTATGCAGCCTAGCAAAGGTACAGAGGAGCAGATAGCCCTTTCAACTGAAGCTTTTTATGCAGAGCCCCTTTTTCTCCTGTTGTACGGGCAACACTTCCAACACCCGGCCAGACCTGACCTGAGTTTAAATACAGTTCCACACAGAATTTGCTTGCCTTCCACAAGGAGACTAAAAATTGCTTGTTTCTCCCTCTCCCAAAATGAGACAGAACATAGTTCTGCTACAGGCTTTGTTAGTCCACTCACTCATGTGGACAAGTGGAGCAGAAGTTGCAAGGAAAATAGACTTAAGAGCCGGACATGGCAAAGTCTTGGGTGTTTGGGGTCATTTAATTTTTCTTTGTTCTCCTATAATGCTATGGTTTTGCCATGACTGGAAATACTTTAGGAGACTCAATAGTCTGGAGGTTTCATGTTCATCATCATAATATAGTACTTACTATTTATGTTAAGCAAAGGTCATATCTGGCACTGCTCACTGGGACTCCTAAATAGGATTCCAAAATCTTTTTCTTTGAGCTCTATGCCTGTTGTGAAGTTGTTAGCTCAAAGGTTGCAAGGAAAAGGGTCATTGCCCATTTAACAATAACAACAAAACTGCTAAATTCTTTGTGGCATAACATGAACTCCGGTCTTCCTCTTTCAGTAGGAAGTGCTGGTTATTCCACATTTCCTCCAAAGAAAAAAGTTACATAAGATTTAACAGATTTCCCAATGCAATCACTAAAATCAGAGAAAAAGACCTACCGGTGTAATATTTAGCAACGTGCCAACCACAACTTGCAGGCTTAAACAAAGCTTCCTCACAGAAGATAGTTGCATCCTCTGCAAGTCTCCAAGTTTTCTTTCAGGCTCAACTGATAAAGGTACCTTCAGAGCACTTGCACAATTCCTTGTGCACACTCCCAAACCATAGAGAAACCCCTCCTTGCTTCGGATCTCCATTCTTTACATTATTGCTTCTTTTGGTAGGTGTTACAGTGAGCAAGTTTCTAAAATAGTATTTGTGAATAGAAGTAGAGAACATAACATGAATTACAGAACTGGGTATCACATTGAGATTTTAGGTACCTGTTTCTGAGAAAGCAGCTACACCACAGAGCTAGGTCTTTGGGCTGATATACAGTGCCATCTTGCTTAGCCCCTTCATCTCACTTTTTCCTCCCCAGTAAAGACAGTGGATGTTTCTCACCCAGCTATGTATTTATATACGTTTTTTCTCACTCAACTATACATCTATAGCTGGCAGTTATTCAGATCATTCCTGCATCCCTAAAACTCACAGAAGTTGTGTGTCAGTTGCATGGGTGCAAGATCGTGTCCTAGAAGAACTCCAACATGGAGCATGTAAGATCTAAAAAGATTTCAAAAACATAGAAAAAGGAAGAGGTGGGTGCAGATGTACAGGGCCTTTATATAGTACAAGAGTGTGAGAATGTATAAAGATTTTCAGTGCAAGGAAAATTTGAGAAAGAGGAGTGAGAATTTCATTATAGGTGTTTTGTCAGGAATGAGAGGCATCTTCATGATAAATGATAACTAGTAACTTGAAGTAATCCTCAGGAAGTTCTTACACATTTGAAAGCTATGCTTCAGACTGGAAGCTACTAGAGGCCTGCTCACTGGCAGGGAAAAGAACTAACTTACTTTTGGCAGAAACAGCAGTGAAAAGCTGCTACAACAGATACAATGATATCACCTTGAATCAGTGGTACATTAGAAATGTTTTCCAGGATGCTCTATGGAAGTCACCTTCAGTTAAGTCTTTAAGAAAAAGGACGGTGGACTGAAAGCACATCACTGATGGCAGCATGCTTGACAGATGTCATAACTTACCAGCAGACCAATAAAGACATAGAGAAATATTTAATCAAAAAAACACTTGTAATTTATGCTGTGCCCAACATTTGTACATTTTTTGCAACTACATCTGGGCTTGCTCTAAATAGAGCACAGAATCCTTTCAATGAGCTAGGCTCAGTGTTTGTGACAGTTACACTTACTGCAGCTGATGTGTTCATCCTCTTTCAATGGAGGAATGTAAAAATGTATGAATATATGGAGTAAAATGTGTATGAAGGATGCTGTGATAAATTGCAGTCCTTAAAGCCTTGGAAGAAGTCTACACTTCTGGAATTACAGCAGAAATCCTCATGCGAGAGGAACATTGAATGGGCTTTGAAAAGCCTGATCCAGCCAGCACAGGCACTGAGGAGTTTGCCATGGTCCAAAGTGAACATAAATGATAAAATTCAGCAGATCTATGGATCCATATTATTTCCTGGCAGGTCTCAACTAGCTGAAAGTGAAGGCTTCCCTTGCATTCCTACCAGGACATACTTTCAAAGCAGCATAAACCTTTCCCTCCCCCACCATCACTGAAGCAAGGAAGGTCACAAGACTTTCCTAGAGGCCTGGTTACAGAATGGGTGAAGTTGGAAAGGACCTCTGAAGGTCATTTAGTGCAATTCCCACCTATTTCAAGCAGGGCCACCTACAGCAGGCTGCCCAGGATCACATCCAGGCAGTGTTTTTGAATATATCCAAGGATGGAGACTCCACAACCTCTCTGGGCAACCCCTGCCAATGCTCAATCACCCTTACGTTTCAGGATGGAAGCCAAGCAGTAAGTGCTCCCCTAAAAAAAAAAAAAAAAAAAAAAAAAAAAAAAAGTCTTTCCTAATGTTCAGGAGAAACCTCCTGTGTTTCAGTTTGTGCCCACTGCCTCTTGTCCTGCCACTGGGCACCACCAGAAAGAGCCTGGCACTGTCCTCTTTACACCCTCTCCCTTCAGGTATTTGTACATATTAACCTGCTCTCCTCTAATCCCTCTGTTTTCTAGGCTGAACAGTCCCAGCTCCCTCAGCCTCTCCTCACTGCAGAGATGTTCCGGTCCCTTAATCACACCAGTGGCCCTTCACTGGACTCTCTCCAGTAGTTCCGTATGATTAATAGCTGTGAACCACTGCAAGACCCCTGGTTAGAAAGAGCTAAATAAGGGCAATGCTGAAGCATAAAGCAGTAAACATGGACCTCAAACGACACATAGCACCTAGCTCCACAGTTGGAGGCTCCTTAAAAGGTAGTACAGCCCATGAGAGTGACTCCATTGATTACCGAGCAAAGGCATAGCTACCACAGATCAGAGCAATCACAGAAAACTTCTCAAAGAGGGCTGAGGCAGAGCCCTAAGACTGCATTCATCTAGCTCCAATGTAATCATTGCTTTGTCACAACAACGTGGAGGGTAAAAACAGCTTCTACCTACACTGAAGGAGAAATTAGCATTGCAATCATTTCAGAAGCAAATTTATGGCCTGATGACTCCTACTTCATTTTAACATGTAGGCTTTGCAGAGCCCAAATGCTGCATCTGTATGTTTAGATTCTGGATGGCTTTCCGACAGGCTAGGCAAGACCCTAACAAGCCATGTGATCCAAAAAGAGTTCCCTGTCCCTGTGGAGCACTTTGGGGAAGGGTAACTGTTCACAGCCAAATTTCCTCCCCACTCTCCTCTGCTGCTATCCAAGATTTGCTAGGCTCAGAGTTAACTGAAGGAGAGATAGTCAAACAAGGCTCTCTGCTGAATGAGAGGACACACAAACCATGAGCCATGCCATTGCATAGTCCACACCACCCTGAGTGGGCAGCTGACAATATGGCTTAGCACACATCAACATGCCTACAGCTCAAGTCCCAAGGGAGTCACTCATCACCCAAGTCAGGCAGTCTGCAGTGCCTTTAGTTCCCATTTAGACTTTATTAAAGTTGTGAACTGAGAAGTGGGCTGTACTGTATTTTTAAAGTTCTTGAGTCACCGCTTTCTGCAGCGGAGATGTGTCAGACTCCAGGGCTCTTGCTTCATGCACAGAAGCAAGCAGCAATGGTGATTGCTCTTTAAAAAGGAAAAGACTTCTTGATGTCCAGGTGAAGTAGCCAGGGATACAGAGGCGAATGAGCACAATACGAGTGCTGCAGCATAGTTGATCAGTTTGAGAGTGACAAGCCAAAACATACTTATTCTATTCTGTTTTGGTACTAGATTTTAAGTCAACACCTAGAAGTTCTGCACCTTCTCCACCTCCCAGGATCATCAGGGCATTACGTTTAACAAACTCCTCATTAATGCAAAGGTGTAGAATACTGGTGATGTCTCAGGTTTCTCCTATTCTTTTCCTAGTTTATCTTATAGTCATGATTCTTTCATATAAATTTGTCACAGGGCATTGACTAACATTTCATAGCATGTGTGGGGAAGACCTTCTGTGGACTCTCTTCCAAGTCAGATACCTACTGCATGGTGGGATGGAGCATAGGACAAACATGTTAAAAACCTTTTGTCCAACCTTTCACAAGAAACAGTTTAAACCAGCACAGTGCGACTAGACTAAAACTACTCTCTAGAAGTGACAACCATCAAGATGCCAGCACACACTCATATAAATATGATGAAACACTTACTCCTCTGTCACTGTCAAAGTAAAGAATATTTCATGACACCTACAAAAGAGAATCCTTAAACAGTTCTTAGACTTTTCCTACAACTTGCAGAGGGCAGGTTGTGCAAGAAATTCTGAAATACTGAAACATCTACAAATTTTATTTTCAGTCAAGTCTGCACAGTTTATCCCAGTAAGCTATGAAAAAGTAGGAGGAACTGCAGAACAGCTTGCTAATTCTGTCCATTAATGCCAAAGTTGCCCTTTCTTCAACAGCAAAGAGCAAGCATGCCTTGCTATTAGGGAGCTGAGGACTGGAAGGTGGTGACTGGAACAGAGCCCAGCAGTTCCAACACAACTTGTGATGGCTTTAGTACATCATGTAACTTCTTGGTGAAAGCTCCCTCGGCAGTGAGATAGACACATTCTTACTACTTTAAGGTCATGTTCAGCAAGCAGTCAGGAGTCCACACCTACAGAAACACTCAGCTCAGAGTGGTTTTTCTTAAAATTACCAAAACAATATAATTCAACTATTGCAGGTATTTATAGATCACGCTAAAGGACTTGTGCCTGGCAATCCCCCTCCCCTTTCATTTCCCCGTCTGCAGAGTGCATGCCAACATACAAACACCCACCCAGTTGTGCAAAGCCATGCTCACCTCCTCCACTCTGCCAGGGGCTGCAGGTCCTCCTTGAGCCCAGGCTCTGCCCTGCTTTCCCCATAAGGCAGTACACATCCTGACATTTCTCTCAGGAGGGCTGTCACAAGACTGTGTATAGAGCACTTCGCAGTTCCCCAACGCTTGTCACTGGTGCACTTTGAAGTGCTATTACAAAAAAGCATCTACAATCAGCTGCTTGTTTCCTTCATGTGTGGCATGTCTAACCACTCATCACCATTTTTGGTTTTCAGAACACCTCTACTATGAGGGACCAGTCACACTGGGAATCAAAGAAATCCCACAGGTAAGTTGGTCACAGCTGTGCTCCCAAGAAGAAGGGCTTTCCAGATAAGGTACGGTCAGAGAACTACCAGCAATCACATCAGCATATTCCAAGGTCCCCCAGCTAGCACACTGGATCCAATGGTGTTTACATGAGTGATTCTTTTCAATATGAAATTAGGTGGCTTTGCTTAAAGCAGTAGAGAGCCACAATTATCCAGAGGCAGACAAGTTTTCTTAGGATAGCAGATCCCCTCTGCCAGCACTATGCCATGCAGCCATACAGTTCTCTTGTAGGACCCCCCTCTATTACTCTTAAAATAGCAAGAAAAGAAGCAGCTCTAAGGGACTCCTGAGAGAACAAGGCTGCAATTCAGTTCACTCCTTGGTAGGCTGAAAATTTGGAGAAGCTCATCCATCCTCATTGGCTATAAAGGCAATTTAGATAACTATTGCAATTGTATGTGTTCCACTGTATATATATATGGTATTAGATACAGAAATAGAAGTCTTCAAAGTTGCAACTGAAAGTAAAAGTTATTGGGCAAAAAACACTCCTCCGGACTTATGGAGCCTTAATATAAGAAAATAATTTCTTTGAAAGATGAGATAACAGGCAGTACCCTAGGTACTGCTCTGAATTTCCTGGTCGTCCATTACAGATGCTCTTTAAAAGCAAGCTTCTCCACACTCAGCTAAGTCTCCCTCTTGAAGGTCAACGAAATCACATTGCAAAGCAAGATAGGTCTCAAATGCTGAATGTACCACAGTGTCCTAACTGGGCACAACATGAAGCTATATTTGACCAGTAAATAGCAAACTATTTTTAACCACATACACGAAGAGACTGGATTGAAGGGGAAAATCAAGATCTGGATCATCAAGGCATCTGGTTGAGAATGTGGTGAAGAAAGGATCACAGTCACCACTGGGAAAAGCACACAATTTAGGTGGTCAGTCAAACACTTCTTAGATTTACTGACTCACAGAAGCACAGCATGAGCTCTCAGTTCTTCAGCACCAGACATCAAACCAATGTCAGAGTCTCAAAGATGAGGTCTGGGGCCTGCTCAGCACTGGATTGGTCCAGGTGCAGGAAAAGAAGACAGGGTCAGAAGAGGGATACAGAATAAGGACATGAGTGCCAGAGAGCAGGGCTTGCCAAGACCTGCAGAGGTAACAACAAGGATAGCTGGCTTCTGGGAGGATCAAGCCTCCATAATAGCCACCATCTCATATGTCTGTCTTCCCTTGGTGATAGCAGCAACCACAACCTTCATTTTCCAAGGCTTTCACACAGGGAGCTGGGCCCCCTTACGCAGGCTGTTATCCCACCCTTACCAACCCGCTTCCCTACAGGCTATGCCTAGCAATGCCTATGTTGAGCAATGCCTTTTGATCTCTCACACTGGAGTGCCCAAGCTCATATCAGTCAGCATCCTGCTCCCGGAGCACCTTTATTAACACCATGAGGACACTTATGTAGTAAAGGCCCTAGACAAACTGAGGAATAGGTCTCTAGACCAAGACAAAGCCCTAGAAAAATCCACACAGACCAGTAGAACTCCGGTTCTGGGCAAATTAGCTGAATTTGGAGCCAGAAATTCTAAGACTGTTCACAATCCTCTTTTAATAAGAATTTTTACCCATGAGCAAAAAATTATTCTGAAGGAGAAAAAAATAATCACTAACGAGCAATAGAAATGAGTTGCTATAAACTCTCTTCCATGAATGAAACTATAAGCTTTTGGAGAATTAACATGCTTGTGGGAAAGAAAATAGGAAGCCTTTTATAATTACTCAATCAGGCAAATAACACCATCCTTTAATGCCAGCAATAAGGAATTACTCCATGCAGCAATTGTCTTCTGCTCATTAAGGAATGGCCTCATATCTGAGCAGCCCAAAGGACATTTGCACAGTGACTACAACAAGGCTGTATTCTCATGAATATGTTGCCATTGGGCCTCTCTCAATTTGGATATTACACTTAACTTGAACCACTCTGTGAGGACACAGGCCAGTTGCTGCTTTAGAAACCCCATGGTAAAAGGCAAATGCCAAAAAACCTGACTCATTCTAGCTGTGCCTCCTTCTACTCCACAACCAGAAGAGTTCTGAGCAGGGCAAGAGCTTTCTATAGTTCAAAGCCAGGAGGCCACTGCTGCCAAGCTCTCCTACCCCAGGTTTTGCTCCCCTTCACACTCCAGAAAAACAGAAAGAAATGCCGCAGTGCCAGCAGTCTAGAGTCAATGAAATCTAGTTCACCTCTTCCTCAGTCTGCTAAATGAGCCTTGCTACCTCCCCTGCCCATTGCTTCTCCTTCTCCAAGTGTCTGGAGAACAGTTTTGACCAACACAAAAAAAGCCATAGCTCCTTTAAGGTTGAGATTTTTTGCACTGCAGTCTTATAAGTTCTCCCCAAATAAGTAGTTTTAACTACACAATTTGAAATTAAACTACCTCTTGTTTTATTATATAGGAATTCGTCACAGATTGAGTCATCTATACACACACATCCTCCAAGGTGCTCTTATAAAAATTCATATCGATATATTCAGTCTATGCACTGAACAACAAGATCCAAGGAAGAGAAGTGCCAGACAACAGAGCACCTCTTCCCCTTCCAGTTACTAAACAGTACAGGCCATATTGTGCTTCCTCATAAGAAACATGAGAAGTTACACAGATTTTAAGGGAATTTTTATGCATCAAAACATTTTGTTCCCCTTGCACTGTTTTAATTTTGAACTTGTGCTGTCAGCATTGATATCCCTGATGAAATTATTTTGGCAGAAAATATGGGCAAGTCCTTTACCAGTTCTGAAACATTTAGACAGGAAAGGTTTTGGAGGAACTTGATAGGAAAAGTGTTGTTCTGTTTCCAGGAAGAGGACTCCCTCATAAAAGCAGTTATATACTACTGATGGGCTAATCTCTTGCTTTGTGTTTGTCTCATACAGGGAGATTACACTATTTCAGCAAAGCTGACTAATGAAGATCACGCCACTGTTGCTTGTGCTGATTTTACCGTGAAAAATTATTTAGATTATTATTAGCAACAAACCAATTTCAGGAAGGCTACAGTCTACCAAAGCTATTCAAGCCAAGGGAGCTGCTTGCATGCTACAATGATTCTGAAGGAAATAATCCCCACATGGTCATTCTGATGCTATTCTTTACAATTCACAATTTTCAAGAAGTGACTAGACCCTCTAGTGGTAATTTTATCTCTAAATATACACTGTAGCCCACTTTTTGCTTCTAATATATACAGCCGCAAGTAGAAAGTACCAGATAGCAACATTCTCATTTTAGGATGAAAATAGCATGAGGCAGAAGAGGCGAGAGCCTAAACATTTTTTTTGCAGTAAGTTATGGAGGTATCCATTTCTAACACAAGCTAAAGATCACTTTCACATGTATCACATATTATGCAGTTACAGCATTCAACATTTTTAATCTTCTCTGGGTCCTGTCTGGAGCCTCCACTAGTATAGGTTTTGTTGTAACCACAGAACAAAGGTCAAATAGGATGAACATGTCTTTCTTCCTCAGTGATCCATGTTCTGTCCCTGGATTCATATCACTTCAGTCTCCTGGAGTCTGCTTGGAATTTTTTGTTCTTTAATGCCTTTTAAGTGATATGTGAATCATCCTATACCTAAGCTATGTGCTCTTCTTGGTTCTCAATAAATTCATAATGAAAGAACAATTTTTTCCTCATGATTTTAGGATCTATCCAAAGCTTAAGGTGGGGGGAAAAAAGGGAGGGGAAAATAAGACTGAGGGAAACATTTTTAAAAGTGCTCATTTAACTTGAAATATCAGTCATGTTGACACACATTTTATGTTAGCAGAGGACAAACTGTTCCTTCCTTTGAGCATGAAGCCCCAGGAGAAGTAAACACAAATTACACTCCCAGGTGCAGCACATTCCCAAACCCTCTCATTCCAGGAACCTTTGCAGCTGGCTGGCATAGCTGATGGGTAGGTAGATAACCAAGCATAAGGCAGCACATGAGATTAGGATCTTGGGTTGGAAAGTGTGGAGACCTGTTTGGGAGCCTTGAAGTGGAGGGGAAGGATCAGCAGTAGGGTTGAGTTCTGATTTGGAAAGGTATGGGCAGGAATCAGAGCCACAGGGGAGTCCTGGAACTGAGCACAGGGTTACAAAGGATGGTAGCTAGCATGAGGCTGCACGTCTCATCTTTTGAGAAGTTCAGCATGTACAGCTAGGACAGCTGTGGTTCACAGCTGGCCAGACAGAAGCTCTGACACATGGCCTCCATCCTACACACCCACATGCTGCGCTCAGACAAATTCCTGAGCAGCAAGAGCATCCCTGCTGCACAGATGACCAATGCCACAGGGCAGCCAACCGCTAGTGGCGAGGGATAGTCCCTTGCTTCCCTCCCATGCAGGGAAATTCTCACCTGCCATCCCAGCAAAGGTGAGCAAGTCTTTGAGGCCTGACTTGCATTAGGCAGGCTTACCACTGTTGAACATGAACCAGCAAGCACCACAAAATGGGATAGGGCACATTAACACACTGTGGTTTCAGCCCATTTCTATTACAACCTGATCTGGAAAAAAAAAAAAAAGAAAAGACAGGGGAGTTCCTCACAACTTTGGCCACCACTCCCCAGATCACAGTTCAACTCTAAAGTGCTGATGCAGTTTTGGAAGCAGTTCATCCAAGTCACCACCATTGCTGCAGTTTAAGTCTTCATAGCTAATGAAAGAATATCACAATACAGACAAAAGTTCATTTTCTTTTCTCCTCACATCAGTAGCTCTTTAGATTCACTTCTCTCCCCATGAGATATCAGAAGAGCCATACCTTGAGTAGAAGCTAACAAAACTGCATTCAGCAGCAGCACTCACACAAAAGTCCACTTGCTCAGCACCATTCCACCACAACCATCCAACAAAAGCGTGACTAAAACCCAAATTCCTGCCACCAAGCTTCTTGGTCTGTTATCTGATGAACAACTTACCAGATAAAAACAAACCCCGTGCTAGTTTAAGCACTTCTACTTGAAATCAATCCCATAATAGCCAAGATCCTCTTAGCCAAATTCACTGGGATCCTCATACCCTGGGGCATGCCTGGAGGGGCCTTCAGGCCCACCACAAACAAACAAGCCAGCCTTCGACTCTACAAGGTGCAAGAGCTCCCCTAGAGCACCTGTAGCAGAAGCTGCTGCAGGAGGTCTCAGCTGCCTAAGAAGTGGGAATTTAATCTCTAAAGATCTCAAGATCTTCCATCACTGACCCTTCACTGCCCACCTCACACATACATTGCAAATTCTCACTCCCATCACCAGCTGAACAACATTTGGCTTCCTATCACAAAAATCTCTTGCCCTTCTTCTCTTGGAATTAAGCTGAAGAACCAAGACTAAGTGTTAAACCCATAGTCCAAGGCTTAAACTGGAGGTTTTTCCATAGCAGGAGAAAGGTATGCTTGCCATACCACAGAGCAATGGTACTTCTTTGTCTAAAAATCCTTCAGAGCTTAGCAGCTCAAAGCCTCAGCTGCTCTCTAAATCAAAAAGGGCTCTGCCCCTTCAGCCTAACGAATGCCTCAGTTTCTTCCTTGAATTCCTGTTTCTAATCAGACACCATTGTGTCTAGTCAGGTAACAAAACCAGGGCTCATCTTCACTGATCTCAGCACAGCTAATGAACCTCTGACTGTCCCAGAAGGTCTGGGCTGTACTCACACTATCACACCAGAATTCAAATACATTTGACAGCTACTGCAGTTGTCTTTCTGAAATGGCCTCAAAAAGCTTAGTAAGGGCACTGCAGCAATATCCAGGCTCTGAACGCAGCTCAGCTGTGCAAGGGTGAGAGTAATATCCTCCAGGGATTTGCAGCCTGAGCAAGGAGGCAGTTGGGTTTTGCCAAAGCAAGGATCTGCACATTTCCAGCCAGCTCTCCTTGAAGTCAGGAAGATGAGGCACAGGTGAACCCCACAGCCAGATTCTGGGCTCTCAGCCCTTGCTAGTAAGATTGCCTGAATTGGAAATGTCTTTATGCTGTTACTTCTGTTATGTTCAAAGATGCTACCCTTTCCATAAAGATCCATTGTTTAAATTTCTCATACACCACCTTCTACACTCTCCAGCGTAGCCCTAAAATAATCCTAGAGTAGCTCCATTTTATTCTTTTGATAGTGCTCTGCAGCATGAGAAAGGGGAGCAAGGGGAACAGGACATCTAAAGGGTGTTATTACAACAAAAGTCAAGTTTTTGTCCCAGAGGACACTGGGAAGGTAAAGCATGAAGCTATCTTTATACTCAGCTCTCACACAATGGACTATGATGAAGAATTTCTCTAGAATACAGACCTAAGTCTCTTTAGCAGATTATTCTGAACTAACCTCCCCAGGACAGACAAATGCTTCAGTGAGACAGATGGGATGGGAGTCTGTTTCCCAGGAGCTCCGACAGGGCTCAGGCAAACACAATGATCAGTGTGCTACAAATACACTCAATAATCAGTTAAAGCTGAGATAAAACAGCTATTACAATGTTTCTACCAAGTCATGCACAGCCTAGTCAGAGGCTTCTGTATCTCAGCAGGCAAAGTTCAAGACTGCCAGACACAAACAGATCTCCCACCACTCCTTTACACCAGCACATCCCTAGATCAGCATGAAGGTCCATCCACAAATCTAGCTCTTGCCCAGCCAGCCTTGTTACATGGCTGTACATTGCCAAGACCCTCATTTCTGTGCAGCAGTAGGATGAAGCTCCTCTGGAGAGCAGCTCTCAGACTAATGCGGCACATGCCACAGCGTTCAACCAGCCTCAAACAGGAAAGCCTTCCCGCACCTCACATGGTAGATGCAATACCCTCCGCACACAGCACAAGAGAGCTGGTAGATATGAGGGCAGCAATTCACACGTGGTCCCCTGGGACAGCAAGGGGAAAGTCTTGCTTGAATTGTTCTGCCAGCCTTCCAGATTGCTCCAAAAACAAGTGCTCTGGTTAGATAATGTGGAGCCATTTAAAAACAAGAATTGTAAAAAAAAAAAATTTATTATGAAGCAATCCTCTGCAGACAGTAACACTCACAGGGTTAACTTCCCACTGCCGGCTCTCTGCCCTTGCTGCTCAGCCTGGGGTCTCCTTCAAGGCAGGGATGCTCTGTGGTCCTTGACCTAGCAAGGAGAGCCATGGTATTAGTAGGTACATTCAAGCCCAGCTCCCCACTTGCCTCTCTAGGGCAAACACATCAGGAGGTGGCCTTGAACTGGATCTGAACTCAAGCACACTGATGTCCACAACAATCTCCCCAACAGAGTGCCAAAAAAAAAATACAGATGGGACAAAAATGGTCAGAAAAGAAACCATGGAAAGAAAATCAGAAATAAAGCTGCCTTTGTTCTGCTCTTAAGATATAAAGTGAGATGGAAGATGTTTGCATAGAAAGATCCTGCTCATGAGGCCTTAAAAACTTTCTCCTCCCGCTGCTACTGCATTCCTCACCCATGATACCTCCTCCCAGAAGCTCTTTAAGTATTTCCCCAGCGAGTGAGACTGAATGAGAAAAACATATTGACCAAGTGAGCCCCCCCACCAGACACCAACCATGGAGTCTGAAAGGATCAGAGGAGCAATGCATTTCAGCCAGGAGACTAATTGCCAAGAGGGATTCAAGCATCTCGAGTTGGGGGAGAAGGGAGAACCCTGAACAAAGAAATCAGACAGAAGAGGCTCCTGAAGGGTCAAGCCTGAGGCTCAAGGTGACTTCTGCCAGCAGGTTATTTTGTTGATAAGGGTTGCAGAGTTACTCAGTTTGCCAGGCATGAGCCTGCAAGATGGTAAAGCATTCCCTGTTGGCCCTGTGATAGTGCCTGTACTATCTCTAGTTATACAATAAGACTTAGGTAGTTTTCCTAAACCAGGCAGCAGCTTGCAAGGCTAAAATAAGCTACTGTTGTCTCACACTGCAGTGAAGCAGCCTCACACATACTTTCCTTCTCCCTACTGATACTTTCCTTCTTCCACTCAGCTGCACAGAGGATACTGATGCCATCAATGCAAGAGCAGGGCACTCCCAGACCGGGCAGGGAACAACTTCGAAGAGGTTCAAACTCCAACCACTTTGATCAGGAGAGTGACTCCACCAGAGCCAAAATAAATGTTTGCCCATAATCCCGTGCCCTCTGTTTGCTTGTGTAGCTCCCATTTTATTAGCCTTCCTATGGTAAATTTTACAGCTGGGGTTAGCACAGTGATAAAATGCACAGATTATTCTTCACTGTTGCCAATTTGCTTCTCCCTAATTTAATGCAGCTTTACCTTGAAAAACCAAATACTTTAATCCAGGATGCTCT